ATGTTAACATTAGGGGAAACTAGGCAAAGGAAAGCTCTCTGTACTGGTTTTCCAAATTTTCTGTGAATCTAAAATTACTTCATAGCTAAAAGAAAAAACATTAGAAATTCTGTCCCTTCTCAATATCCTTTCCTCACTCTACATCATTAGCATCACCTTTTTTAAAAAATTGCTTTAAAAAAAAGTTATTTCTTTCTATAATTTATTTGTGAATTTCCAACTCAGTGGTTCCCAAACCATATTTCCACATAAAGACTTGTTAGCAAAATGTTTATGGCAGATTTATTCTTAATAGCCCAAAACTGGAAACAGCCTGAATGCCTATCAGTTGGCAAATGGATAAACAAATTTTAAACCTATATGGTTAAATAAAAAGACACAAACACAATAAAAAGACTCAACAGCATGGATAAATTTTAAAAACATTATACTAGGTTAAAGAAAACTACATGCTGCATAATCCTATTTATGTGACATTCTGGAAAAGTAAAATATAAAGACACATCAGATTGGTGTTTTCTAGGGACTGAGGGTGAAAGGAAGGGATTGACTATAGAAAGGTACAAAGACATTTTGTGGGTGATGGAAATGTTCTGTATCTCAGCTGTGTTGGTTCAGTACACATTTGTCAAAACTAATCAAAATGTACATGCAGTAACAATGTATTTTGATTTTTGTATATTAGACCTCAAAAAACCTATTTTAAAACATAATATACATAAGTTGAGAGTAAAAGGCTTGAAATAGTTTAACAGAAAGATAATAATCAAAAGAAATGTAACAGATTTATGAGGATGAATAGCTAAGATAAAGGATAGGTTAGTAGCCGGGCTCGGTGGCTCAGCCTGTAATCCCGCACCTTTGGGAGGCTGAGGTGAGTGAATTGCCTGAGCCCGCGGGTTCGAGACCCGCCTGGGTAGGCGAGACCTCATCTCTCCAATAAATCAAAAAATTAACCGGGCGTGGTAGCGCATGCCTGTAATTCCAGCTACTCCAAAGGCTGAGGCGGAAGGATCACCGGAGCCCAGCAGGTCGAGGCTGCGGTGGCCGGGAGCAGCCACTACACTCCAGTCTGGGCGACAAAGTGAGACTCCAACTCAAAAAAAAAAAAAAAAAAATAGGTTAGTAACAGATTTGCTAGATGTCTTCCATGTGACTCTTTAGCAATTCTTAACATAGCAATATGCGTTTTAACATGTTATAATGTATTATTATATTGACAACAATATTATAGTCTAATAAATATGTTTATTTTATATTTTAATATAATTACATATACCATAACATCAGTATGTTACCATTGATTAGATCTGATTAATGAGTATATGTTTATTCATTTATATGCTTTGTTTAAAAGTTTCATAATTAAAATTTTACTTTTTTAATAAAATCAAATCACTGAATGCTTATTAGAAATGAAGATCAGTCCAGGCTTAGTGGCTCAGCCTGTAATCCCAGTACTTTTGGAGGCCAAGGCAAGTGGATTGCCTGAGCCTGCAGGTTCGAGACCCCAGGCAATTTGGCGAGACCTCATCTCTACAATAAATTAAAAATTAGCCAGGTGCGGTAGTGTGCGCCTGTAGTTTCAACTACTTGGAAGGCTGAGGCAGAAGTATCGCCGGATCCCAGCAGGTTGAGGCTGCGGTGGCTGGGAGCGTGCCACTGCACTCCAGTCTGGGTGACAGAGTGAGACTCCAACTCGAAAAAAGAAGAAAAAAGAAATGAAGATCACTGTGTCCCACTCCCAAAGAATCTGATTTATCGGCTCTGGGCTAGGAAAGCAATTGTAATTTATAATAAAACCTTTTCTCCTTCCCTTTGACTCTTAAATTTGCTTAAAAAGAAAATACTAGGAGAGAAACTACCAACATTGAAACTGCTTGTTTGCTATAAAGCACTTTGCAAGTATTTGGTGCTTTGTTATTCTTGTCTACATGAGATAGCATGAATTTTCTTTCCTGTTTGGACTGCCAGTAATGCGAAGAAAACTAAGTAAAATGTAACTGGAAAGTAGAGTTTAACATTTTCAGTTACTCTTCACATTTCCTTTTTCCTTGTTAATTTTCTACAATTGCATCTTAATTAACTTTTATTGAACATCTACAATTTCCTAAATTATATTCGGATAGCAAGGAAAGGAATGATTTATATATCACAGCCATGGATAATTACTGTCCATGATAAAATAAACTGATAAAATATGCAAACTACATAGAGATTAATTTACTAATTAAACTAAAACTTGAAAAGTAAGAGTGAAAACAGTTCTTACCTGGGTTTTTTCTAGTTGACAGGGTGGCATTTCCTTTGTGTGAGTCATATAACATTCTAAGAAACTACCATTAAAATTACATAATCACTTAGAATTGCTATAATATTGTCCTTAATCCCTTGTGTGGTTGCTGATGTGAAAAATCCTCAAACAGAATTAAAGCTGGGTTCTGTTGCACATCCCTGTATTTTCGTGTGAAAGATGATGATGACATGTTCCACTTCTCCCTGTCTTAAGGGAACAACAACAATGCTAGGATGCTGGCAAGTCATTGTCCCTTATTACCCCCACTGTGGCTTCTGAGAGCAGTTGCATAGCAGCAGTTTTATTTCAGTTACAAACCATGCCCAGATAGCCAAGTCGGTCTTTAGGGGTTACTCCGGTTTGCAGGTGGTGAACAACTTTTGTTATTAGTATCTCAACACTTACTAAGCCCCAGAGAAAGGCAACATTTGGCTTTTTGTTTCACTGACAGTGGCTAATTTTAAGCCCTATTTTGAAAGAAAATAATACCAACTAAAGTAAGTCATTTTAGATGTATACAATTGCTATGACAATGTACTTTTTTCTTAACGATGAGCTTTTTACTTAAGAATTGTAGAGGGTAGCAATATCATTTCAAAGAAGAATTAGATAAGGTAGGATTTGTTTTGAGTGTTTTATCAGTATGCTTTTCAGATTAGGTTGGTGTCAGTTAGAAGAATGAAACCACTTATTTATAGTCTTTCTTTCCTTTGTTTCTATTTATACTGTTGGGTTTTTAGAATATACTTAGAGGAGCATCATTTACACTCTTCATATTTTTGTAAGGCATGGATAGTATAACTTCATGTGAAAGAGAGGGCCATTTTCTTCTTGGCAATTGCTTTTAAATTTTATATTCAGATTTTTTCTTTTATACCATTTTTTATACTCAGTGACTACAGAGTCAGTTACATATAAAGTAACTTCAATTGGATGTTAATTTTACTTTAATTTCATAGCTAGAAACTCTAGGAGCACATTCTTGTAAGTCAAATGCTATACTAGTAGTTTTTTTGCTTGTTTTTTTCTCCTCATATTTTGAATTGTCATATTCCATTTCTGGCTCTTTTTGATATATAATTCTATAATAAGGTACGTATGGGAATTAAATATAGTATATGTGGGGAAAATAAGTTATACTGCAGTGCTATGAGTATTTGAAGAGGAATTGGGATGTGGAGAATCGTATAGCATAATGGTTAAAAAGCAAGGGTTCCAGTGTTAGGCTGCCTGAGCTTGAAGTTCTCTGCCATTTATCAGCTGTGTGACTCTGGGAAAGTATCTACCTTCTTTGTATCTTGGCTTTTGAAATGTGATCTACTGTTGATGAATAAGATGAACTGTTCATAAATTGCCCATTCTTGTTCAAAACTTTATATTAAAGCAGTGCACGTTTCTCTATTTTCATAGCTAAAAGTATTTCAGAAGAGCAAATGTTTATTTATTCATGGCTGCTTTAAATTGTCTCCCACTGTTGATTTCCTTAGACATGGCTTCCTCTCTGGGTCAGTGTAAGAGGTAAGGTCTTTGCAGTAGCCTATTGGAGCTGCATCCTTCAACCATGCTGACTTTTTGGTCCTTCCTTGAACATGGTAGGCATGTTCTGCCTTAAAGCCTTTGCCCAGCCTGTTCCTGTTGCTTGAATTGCTTTTCTCTCTGATATCTGCAGGCTAACTCAAATTTTTGAAGTCTTTACTCAAATGTAATTTTTTTGCTGTAAGGCTTACTTTGACCACCTAATATCACCAAATCCCTTTACATGGCTCTGTTTTTCTTTTTTGTTTGTTTGTTTTAAATCAAGAGTCTCACTCTTTCGCCTAGGCTTGAGTGCAGTGGCACACTCATGGCCACCACAGCCTTTGCCTGCTGGGCTCAGGTGATCCTTACACCTCAGCCTTATAAGTAGCTGGAACTACAGGCATGTACTACCATGTCTGGCTAATTTTTAAAATTTTATTGTAGAGATGAGTTCTCACCATCTTCCAGGCTGATCTTGAACCTGTGAACTCAGGCAATCTTCTTGGCTCTGCCTTCCAAAGTGCTGGGATTATAGGTGTGAGCCTCCACACCTGGCTGACTCGGTTTTTCTATAGCATTTGTCTTTTACTTCTTGATTTTGTTCTTTGTTTATTGTCTATCTCCTTCCTAGTATATGAGGTTAATGAAGGCAAGAATTTTTGTTTGTTTTTGTTCACTGATATATCTCAAATGCCTTAAGTATCTGAAAAATAATAGGAGTTCAATAAAAATATGAATGGATGAAACTTTTAAATGTTAGCAATGTACTGGGATTTAAATCTTAACTCTGTATCTATTCATTGTGTGACCTAAAGTAAGTTACTGAATACCTACTTCAGTTTCTGCATGAATTAAAATGCATCATATGTTGGAAAGAAACTAGTCAGTGCTGATACTCAGGAAACCTGCAGTAAATTCATTCAGTCAACAAATGTTTACTGGGTAACAGTAAACTAAAAAAAAAAGTTTAATTATTCAATTTGTCCCAGAAGAAAAACATTTTCTTATTACATTACCAAGTGGTTTCAAGCAACTATTATTTACAAAATAAAAAATAAAAAAATTAAAAGTTGGATTGTTTCTGATCTTCATCATAAACATATACACACCTTTTGCGAAGATGGTACAGAAGCGTAACTTTCCCTTTTGGTTCTCTCTCCCCTCACCTTCTGCCTTTTCGTTCTAGGGATTCTTCAGCAAGCGCCTAAAAGGCTCCATCAAGAGGACCAAAAGCCAGTCAAAGCTTGACAGAAACACAAGTTTTCGACTTCCATCCCTTCGCAGTACAGATGACAGGTAGGGAGTTAAGTTGCTTAAAACAGAGAACACAGTTTTATAGCGAATTTTGATAAGGTATTTTGGTCTCCTCTGACTTTGAATCAATTTAAAAGTTTACTTTTTCATCTTGCTCAAATTAAGACAAGCTCCAAAATATTGGTTCAAATACTCAACCATTTAAGAATCTTATACTATTAGAGAGTTTGTGGGTACATAAGAACTAATTGAAGACTCAGTTGTGCTGCTTCTGTAGAATTAAGTTTTAGCAGTCAGAGTTTTTCCTTTTTCAGTAGAATGACTCTAAGGCAGGGGCTCTCAACCCCCAGGTGGCCTGTTAGGAACTGGGCCACTGAGCAGGAGATAAGTAGCAGGCGAGCAAGCAAAGCTTCATCTGTATTTACGGCTGCTCCCCATTGCTCACATTACCATCTGAGCTCCGCTTTCTGTCAGATCAGTGGCAGCATTATATTCTCATAGTAGCATGTACCCTGTTGTGAACGGTGCATGCAAGCGATCTAGGTTGCATGCTCCTTATGAGAATCTAATGCTCGATGATCTGAGGTGGTGATGCTAGCGCTGTCTCCCATCATCCCCAGATGGTACCATCTAATTGCAGGAAAACAAGCTCAGGGCTTCTACTGATTCTGCATTATGGTGAGTTGTATAATTATTTCATTATATATTACAATGTAATAATAATAGAAATAAAGTACATAATAAATATGATGTGCTTGAATCATTCTGAAACCACCCCCACCCCACCCCCCACCCTCCCTAGTCTTATGGAAAAGTTGTCTTCCACAAAACTGATTCCTGATGCCAAAAAAGATGGGGACCAGCCGGGCTCGGTGGCTCAGCCTGTAATCCCACGCTTTGGGAGGCTGAGGTGAGTGGATTGCCTGAGCCTGCGGGTTCAAGACCCGCCTGGGCTAATTGGAGAGACCTCATCTCTACAATAAATAAAAAAATTAGCCGGGTGTGGTAGCGCGCACCTGTAGTTCCAGCTACTTGGAAGGCTGAGGCGGAAGGATCACTGGAGCCCAGCAGGTTGAGGCTGCAGTGGCTGGGAGTGGCCACTGCACTCCAGTCTGGGCGACAGAGTGAGATTCCAACTCAAAAAAAAAAAAAAAAAGTTGGGGACCACTGCTCTAAGGAATTATGATGATAGCTAAAAATTTTTGAGCAGTGTACTGGATATTTCATACACATTATCTTGTTTAATCTTTATAGTAACCCTATACAATAAATACTGTTATTATCCCCACTTTATAGATGAAGAAGCTAAGGCACAGAGAGGCTAAGTAATCATGCACAAGGCCATAAAGCTATTAAACAACAAAAACAATATTTTTGAACTTGGGTGGTTTGGCTCCAAAGTTCATATTCTCTACTGTTGTTGTTCTATATGTATAGCTTATAGAATAAAAAGAAAGCCTAGATTTCAATAATTAGGACTACTATCTCGAATAAAACCTCAAATGTATGGCTTGCTAAGGATAGCATTCTTCTAAAATTGTTGAATGTGTGCTGACATACTTTTAATGCTTCATGTCTCCATAATGTTCAAAGTTGTGGAAATGGTGCTTGATGTATCAGCACCAGCACAACATTACCATCATTAGTACTGGAGCACTTACTCTGGCCCAGGCATTTTAATTGTAGTCTGTCATGTAATATAACAACCCTAGATACTGTTATTATCCTCATTTTACAGATGAGGAACTGAGGTGTAAAAAGATTGTGAAACTTGCCCAGGGTCACACCTCGTAAGTAGTAGAGATTGGATTTGAACTCAAGTGTGCTTCTCGCATTTGATACTCTTATTTATACTTTTTTCCTAGTAATTGATTTTTTTAAAAAGAAATAAAAATTATAGATTTTCCAGGCAGAGAGTTGTTGTCCTTATTTTATAGGTAAAGCAACTTGTTCTCCATACTGAATTAATGGACTACTGCTTTATCAGCTCTTCTTGAACATTAAAGATTCTCTATGAAAGTTGCAAGTCTGTTCAGTTTGCTGTATAATTATATTATTAATTTTCTTTTTTATTTCTTTATTTTAAGGTAAGGTAATTGTAAAAAACAGATTTTTTTCCATATTTTTATTAGATTTCATAACTTTCATCAATCTAGAAATTCAAATCATTTTGTAGGTAAGTCTCAATAAAATAGAATTACAATTTTTTCAGAATATTGATTTTTTTTTTGAGTTGGAGTCTCACTCTGTCACCCAGACTGGAGTGCAATGGCATGCTCCCAGCCACCGCAGCCTTGACCTGCTGGGCTCCGGCAATCCTTCCACCTCAGCCTTCCAAGTAGCTGGAATTACAGGCACGCGCTACCACGCTGGGCTAAATTTTTGATTTATTGTAGAGATGGGGTCTCGCCAAGTTGCCTAGGCGGGTCTCGAAACCGCAGGCTCAGGCAATCCACTCACCTCAGCCTCCCACAGGCACGGGATTATAGGCTGAGCCACTGAGCCCGGCTAGAATATTGATTTTTAAGAACAAAGATGTTATACAACAATTAAAACCCTCCAAGCCTGGCACAGGGGCTTACACTTATAATCCCAGCACTTTGAGAGGCCAAGGAGAGAGGATTTCTTGAGCCCAGGAGTTTGAGACCAGCCTAATAAACATACTGAGATGCTACAAAAAAAATCAAAAAATTAGCCAGACATGGTGGTATGAACCTGTAGTCCCAGTTACTCAGGAGTCTGAGGCAAGAGAATCTCCTTCACCTAAGCCCAGAAGGTCAAGTTTGTGGTAAGCCAGGATCATGCCAGTGCAGTCTAGCCTGGGCAAGAGTGAGACCCTGACTCTAAAAAACAAACAAACAAAACCCAAAAAACCTCTCAATTCAATGCCAGTTTCGTGAACTCTGCAGCATCATGTGGAAACTTGGGTGACAAGATTTTTTTGCAGGTGAACTTTAGTTTTTTAACCTTGCACTAAATATTACCTTCTTAATTTCAAACAAAGTGCTCTCTACTATTCCATTTTGTTTTATGTAGCCCATGGGAATTCTTCAATTGAATTGTCAAGAGATTATATTCTTCCAGATTCTTTTATATTGCTGTTGTATAGTTACTGCATTTTTAGCCTTTCCAGTGAGCTAAATTCATTATGTGTGACTTTCATGCTATTATGCTTTAGTCAATAGCAGTATCTTTCTTTCTTAAATATAGAATAGTAAAAAAAAAAGTGCTACTAAATCTCAAATACTAGGTAACCCTTTTTATTTTTCAAATCCATTTGAATTGCAGAGGTTTCTTATTAGAAGTTTTTTGTAAAAAAAAAAAAACTTTATAGAGTTTGAATGTATTACAATTTTAAAAGCTCTCTTGCTGTCAGGGTCATCTGAACACTCAGATAAATAGAGTTAAGGAGGCTATTAACCAATTTAATTTTTTTAATTAGAGCTCTTACAGGTATGGCCAGATATTTTCTCAAGACTTGTGGTTTTCTTGGGTCATATGCATCAATAGCTGAAACCAGGAAACTTCTTCCAAAATGATATATGGTGTCTAAATCCAAGTAGAAAAACATTTCTATTCTTATATCCAATGTAATGAAATCTTAGTTAAACCTACTAAGTAGCCTTTTTTTTTCCAGTTTTTTAAATTGTAAAGTAAAATACTCATGTTCTTGTTGTTTTAGGGGGAAAAAAATGCATCAATATATAAGTAGAAACTAAAAAACTGAAAACACTCTTCATCTTCCCTATGCTTCCACATAAATAGCCTCATTAACAGTTTGTATATTTTCAAACCTCTTTAAAAATTCATACATAAATAGCACCCATGTATATGTTTTGCATATTTTTATATAATTTGGATCATGTTATACATATAGCTTTGTGACTTGTCTTTTAGTATGAATATTTTGTACTCATACAAAACTTTAATACAGATTTTGTATTAAATCTGTATATGTCAATCTACATCATTCTTTTTAACAACTGATTCTTAGTATACTACAGTGTTATTAACATAATGTACTTCTCTATTGATGAACATTTGTTTCTCTTTTATCAATATTTGAATGAATAGTTATAATAAGCCCTTATGTGACATATACTATGTGCCAGACTCTATTCTAAGTACTTTACATAACCTAACTCATTTAATCATCACAGCAACCCTATGAGATAGTTACTATCCTCACTCCCATTTTGAAGATGTGAAAATTGATACACAGAGAAATTCATAAATTGTCTGAGGTTATGCAACTTAGAAACTGATAGAACTGAGGTTCAAACCCAGGACAATTGGCTCATGAGTCTATATTCTTAACTTTTATTGTCTGTTGCCTCTCAAAAAGAAGGGGAGGGACACATTTCTTTGTTTTAATTTATCTTTCCCTAATGCTTAGTATTTTGAACATCTTATCACGTTTTCTTCTTCTGCAACTTACCTATTTATTTCCTTTGCCCATTTTTTTATTGCGTTGTCTTGTTTCTTATTATTTGGAGTAGCACTTTTTATTATTAGCTATAGTAAGCTCCTGTTATATAGGTTGCTGAAATTTTCTTCCAGTCTGTCTCTTGTGTTTTAAAATCATGTTTTCAAATTATATAGAAGTTTTAGATTTTTCTTTGGTCCAGTAGGTCAGTCTTTTTCTTTTTGGCTTACCTGGTCAAATGTGACCAGAACACTGGACTCAAGAGATCAAGGAACTGTTTCTCATTAAATTCCTCTTTATGAGCTGGGCTCGATGGCTCAGCCTGTAATCCCGCGCCTTTGGGAGGCTGAGGTGAATGGATTGCTTGAGCCCGCGGGTTCGAGACCCACCTGGGCAGCGAGACCTCATCTCTACAATAAATCAAAAAATCAGCCAGGCGTGGTGGCACGCGCTACCACGCCTGGCTAATTTTTTTTTAATTTATTGTAGAAATGAGGTCTCGCCAGGTTTCCCAGGCGGATCTCGAACCCGCGGGCTCAGGCAATCCACCCGCCTCAGTCTCCCAAAGTGCGGGATTATAGCTAAGCCACAGAGCCCAGCTCATAGGGTGTTTTAA